GACGAATAGGAAATCCACCCGCAGGAGGAGCAGAAAGCCGGCAGGTGAGAGGAGAATAAACAACCTCTCCCCAAATCTCAAGCACCACTTTGCCCTAGGTTCTGTGACACGCCTGGGAAGCCTGATCCTGGAGCTCTTTCACTTTAACTCTAGTAAGTGGGCACACCAGCTCACAAGCAGGGCGCCGGGGCAGAGAACTGGGCCCTCACTCAGTAGGGTCCCTCCTACCCTCGGGGTTCAGGGATCCCTGGTCATCACCTCAGAGCTCTCCGGAGCCTCACGCTTGCTTCTGTGCTTTGTAGGGGAGCCCATGCGGACACCACAGCACGCACCAGAAGTGCGGCGCCTCAGCGCAGTTTCAGTCCTTCCGGCCCCACCTCTCCATTCTCACCCAGACGCCTCAGCGGGGTCCTGCGCACAGACACAGGCAGGGCTGGATTGAGCATGAGTGCTCTGGGGTTTCCAGGCACACCGTGAGGGCTGCATCCCTAATGGCAGCTCACAACACCCAAAGCTTTGTGCAGGACATCAGGGACAGGTGCAGAGATTGCAGCACCCCTGCTGCCTCCCAGTCCCTGGGGATTGAGGAACTGAGCTCTTTTGTAAATTTTATTTTTATTCAGTACATGTTTACAATACACAATGACTGCATTACTTGTAGGGAGTTGGTCCGTGCACATAACACATCTTAATTCTTTTTTAACCCCTTCCCTCTCCTCCCTGCCCTTTCCCTCCATCTCTCGATACCCTTCCCTTTTGCAAAAGATCTATTTTCTATTATCTGTCTTTTCTTTGGCTCTTTATTTATATTTGGATTTCTCACATGGGAAAAACCATGTCATATTAGGCTTGTGTGTCTTATTTATTACATTTAACATTATGGTCTCAGGGTGCATCCATGTCCTGCGAATGACTCAAGTTTAACCTTCTTTATGGCAGAGTAGTACTCCATCATGTATAAGTACCATAGGTGGCTGACTCATCTTCCCTGCCTCGCTGGTCACAGTGTACTGGTTAGGGGGTTGGGAAACTAAGTCAATGGGCCATGAGTGGGCCAAGACGCAGCATGGGCCTGGATCACCTACGAGGTCAGTGCCCACTCCACGCCTATGAAGCAACATTAAATAACTAATAAACACCATGACAGTACAAACAAGCCCACAAAAATAAAATAACAGCTTTATATTTAATACTTTTAAATGAAAAGATTGTCCTGCTTTTTTCTTTTTAACAAGGAGCCCACACTTTAATTATCCTCTGGGCTCTGCAAATTACATAGCCCCAGTCCTGACAGTAGATCCCTATTACTTGCAACCAAAGCGATCCTAGCAAATATACACCTTTCACACAGCTGTGTATTTTGAGGACCTCTTTAACAGCCTCTTTCACATGCATAATTCCATTTTACAAAGTGTTCCATCTGTTCAAATCCTTCTCCAACATTAAAAGATGAAATCGCCAAGGGTCCTGTCCTTTTGCCTTTTGCTCTTCGGATGCCTAGAACTATATTCCAGGCACAAAATTCAGACTCATTGTATGTTTACAGAATAAATGTCAATGTCACCAGTCATTAGGACAAGGATGCTTCCAAGGATCACCACGTGACATCCAGCCCTAGCGACAGATAGGAGAGAAGGCTCAGTCTATCAGGTATCTATGACAACTGCCTAGAGGCCTGATTTCCATTTCAGCCCTAATGCAGAAGTGCAAGTGTAGAGAAACACTCCTCCACAGATAACCTTAGCCCTCAAGTCAGGCCATGCAGATCCTACCTGAAACCATTTGCAAACATTTTGTCTATTTAACTCCAAATGCCAAATGTTTAACAATACATTTTGCATAGTTTCCAACTATGTAAGAAAAATCTCATTTTAAAAATTATAGACTGTCATTGTACCCTCTCTTCTCTTTTTCTTTTCAGCTTCTTGGCAGATGTGGCGGGGGAGGGGGGGTGGAAGAAAAGGGGAAAGAAATAGGTAATGGAAAAGGAAAAGAAGAGCGAGGAGAAAAAACCGAAAAAACATAAAAGCAATCCCCAACAACTGGGATAAATCAGATTCAATTGTATCTTCTTCTTGATTGTTATTTGAAAAAGAATAAGGCTATCAACATCCCAGGGCTCTGATGAGAACTAAATGAGGTAACATGTGAACACAACCAGCAAGGTATCATGCATGTATCTGGTATCAGTTACTAAAGCTGACTGAATGAGTACTTTCCATTCCTGTGAAGAATAATCTTACGCAGGCACTGGCCACCAGCAAAGCTCATCTGAGAGCATTTACAACAGTTAGCATTAGGTTAGAAACCACTGCCTTGTGTGAAGTCTCGAAGTACAAGTGTTAACAGTGTTTATTCTATCCAGATTTACTTGAGTCGAGGAACATGCCTAGGAAAGTTTTTATCCACTGAACATTTTTTTTTTTAAAAAGAATGAGTTATTCTTGGCCAACTCATAGGGTCACCATTTCAGTTGTAGGTGGTACAGTCACCTATGGAACAATGCCCTGAAACAAAAATACAAATCTGGTGCTTCCCGGAGAAGGCTACGGTGCAGACAGCTCATGAAGTGTTCCCAGGCCCCTACTCCCACCCTACCCGCTCCTCCTCCTTCTCCTTCACCACCATAAAAATAATATTTTCACATTATGTAGCTTTTTATAATTCAAAATTCTCTTCATAATTATTTTCAATACTAAACCAATTTTAACATGCAAAAATATAAACTTTTCGACTCATCAGCCATAAAAGCACTTCTAAACCAATTTTTCAAGTTCTTATCCCATTCTGTTCCTCCACCACATTGCTTCCGCATGCAGCAGTTATGAACACAGAATTCTCCCTCTTACCGAGGTCAATGTGATTGCCCATGAGAATCATTTTTTAAAAAATTATTTTCCTAATTCATAGCTTTCAGTGGAAGATATGTTTCCCCTCTGAGTCTATGGACACCAGGAACATCATTTGAACTCGTATTTTTCACAGCTAGACTTTCAAATTCCACACAGGTGACACCACCACTTATCACAATGCAAGACAGGACTTAGCAAATGCAAAGCCCATTGAACAAGGGCAATTAATATTATTTTATGAAGCAACATAATTCTGATCATAAAGAGCATTAAAATCAAATCCCTAGGTTGCTCCTTAATTTACAGTACTGATATGCAGGTATCAGTGGGCTTCATAAACCATGCAACTACATTCATTTTTTTTTTTACTTTTTCTTTTGCATTAAAAATGTTCTTAGCCTTCTTTTAAAAACTGAGCACTGGTTTACTTACTTCATGGGCCTTTTAAAAACCACACAGATATTTCTTGTACAAATTCCCACTGGAAGATGCAAATAATAAATAATTCACAGCAATAAGTGAATGTTCTTTTTTCTCACAACCTTGGGTATAAAAGTGAAGAGTTTGTACATTCTAGTCCTCCTATATTTACATAAATATGTGCATAGATATTTAAAAACCGGGATGAAATAATATTATATATATTGTCTTTTTTATTTATTTTTCTCTTTTCCTCAAAAATATGTCTTGCAGACCTTTCAGTGCATTTCTGTGTGTCTTTCTGTTTGTACATACACATGCTTAGGGTTTCAAACTACTGCATCCTATTCCAGGAGTGAACAACCAAAATAAATATAAACGCAAACCCAAAATATCCATTACTGGTGGATATTTTGATTGTTCCTAATTTTTAAGTGAATTAAAACACTGATGCAAAAATACTACTATATGTGCATGTTTTCCTGCTTATGTATGACCTTTTGTTTTTCCAGGATTCATTTCAAAAGGTAAAACAGATGAAATCAAGAAAATGCATACTTTGAGTGTAGACAGATTTTTGTCAATTGCTGTTCCAAAGGAGTTTCGCCAATTTATTATTTTGGTCACTTGTGAAGCTGTTTACCATGTACTAACCAACACAGAGTAAAATCAACCTTTGACAATTCTCTTCCAAGCCAGTGTATAAATATGGTAGCTTAGTTACTGTCAGTTATCTCCTATCACAGGACATCTCTTACTAGAGTCCAGATAATGTGCTGGGTCCTTGAGTAAGTTACTGGACCTCTCTGGGTTTGAACCATATCTCCTCTGCAATGAGAATGATAATAACACCTATCTCATAGGTTACCTCTGAATGTTGCTTCTTTTTTCAGTGGACTGTGTCTTTGCTCTTTGACTGAGTCAGTTAACACACAGTTAATCTAGGTGCTAGATGCAAACTGTGGTGATAAGATCAAGATGTCACTGTCACAAGAGTAGGAAAGAGAGAAACACACCAATGCATAATGTTTTTTCAGGCTGTTTATGAAGAAAACCACCATCAAACAGGGCTCTGGCTGAGAAGAACTAAGGTGTTCTTGTAAATAAGGTGGCCACAGAATGGCTCCCTGATGCAGGGACCCTAGAGACACGAAGGAGATTCACCTCCTGGCTGTGGGACAGCAATGCTGAAGGGACCATGAGGAGGCAGTGTGCTGATGCGGAGGGACTGAGGGTGCGGAGAAAGAGAGATGTCAGCCAAGAGGAGTCAGGGACAAGATTCTGAAGGCATTGGACGACAAAAGGAGGAGTTATAATTGTATCCTAAATGCAGAGGGAAGCCAGAAAGCTGGTGTCTGAATTGCTAAACATTAAGCTAAACATTTAAAACATTCTGATTCCTACTCAAGCAGATAACCTGACTGCGGACAGGAACGGTGCCCACTTACCCGCTAAGCAAAGCTCACAGAAAAGAAAATTAACCTCAGCCATAGAGCTTCCCTTCCACACTCAGGTTCTAAGACGCACAGCTGAACAGAGCCATCAGCTTGTGGAACTGTGCCCCAGACCACACAACCACCCAAAAGCTAAGCCTGGGCACTGTTTTCCTTCTTTCCTGCCCAGGTCTTTGCCAGCTGACTGACCAGGAGCAGGACCCCGGCTGTGTTCACGACAGCATCTGTGGCGGGCGCAGCGAGAGCCCGGCAGGCTGCAGCACGCACGGCTCACCTGGAGGGGCAGGCCTACCTCTGCAGATGGTCCCGTTGCCCACGTAGCCCGGTTTGCAGGTGCAGCTGTGTCCCTGGACGGTGTTGGTGCAGATGGCATTCTGGTCGCAGTTGTGCTGCCCACTGCCACATTCATCGTGCTCTGTTTTCAGGGAGGAGGAAAGAGACAGTCAGCTTTTCTCAAGGTGCGGTGACTGGTGCAGAAACTGTTAGCTGGACCTTACCCTCGAAACAACAGTGAGCTGCACGCATGGTGAGCGCACTGAGTGCATGGGTGTCTGTATGTGATGTGGTTGAAATCTCAGCAAATCCAGAAGACGACCAAGTATCAGAGCAACCAAAGGGCTTATCGTGTCACTGTACTAGTCAGCAGAGACAGAAAATCCAACATCTACAACTGAAAGGAAGGTTTAATCTGCTTGTGATTACAGTCCACAATTGCCTGGCTCCAACACAGAGATGTCATGGTGGAAGAATGTGGAGGAGCCAGGCTGCTTAGTTCATGGTAGCCGGGAAGCAGAGCAGGGTAAGAACCAGAGGGGAAGAAGCCAGGAACCACACAGTGCCAAGCTTATGACCCACCCAGACACACCAAGTCATCTGCCAGGGCTTCATCCGGTGAAGGTGACATATCAGGATTAATGGTCACTGTCACACAATGGGTAAGTGCTGCTGTAAGGCCACTTCTTCTGCCTTCTTCCAAGCCTGCTCCAAAACACTTCAAGGCAGATGTTGTAATGGCAGCAACTTAGCATTCCCTCCTCCGCAAATCATTTGGTTGTTTCTGAAGACACTTGATTGCCACGACTGGGGATAGCACTAAAATCTAGCAACTAGAGACGAGGGATGCTGCTCCACATCTTATAATGTACAGTAGAACACAACAAAGAATTAACCAGTCCAAAGCCAGCAGTGTGATCCGTTGGGAAGCCTTACTTTAAGATTAAAAACATATGACAGACACCATGGCTCTTTTACAACAGAGAGTAAGGATGAGGAGGAGGACCGTGCTGATAGAGCCTAGCAAAGGAGCACTTAGCAAGAAGTATTTCCAAAGGGTAGCACTGGTCCCCGGGAATGATGGTGAGCACAAGGTCACGCTGAAGACGGATTCACGCTCAGGACTCTATTGAAGGGTCTCCAGCAGGTTAATTCTACATGTGGCCCATTTTCATAGGGCTCAGATTTAACCCCTGCTTGTTGCCTCTGTGTAATGATTTTATTATGCCGTATTCGGATAGCAGTGGCATCCTTAGCCTACAAGATGTGGAGGGCAATAGATCCACACTGCAAAAATGAACTGAAACAGGCAAGAGGCCAAGATCTCCTAAGTAACAATCCTTTCCTCTCCTAATTAGTTATCCAGGAAACGACTGTGTAAATAAACAATATGGGAAAGTTTATACTCTTTATTCCTTTTAACATCTGCTAGTTTAACTCTTTAACAAGTTTAGGAAGAAAGACAAATAAGGCTATTGAAACCATAAAAGGTTATAAATCAAGAGTGGAAATCCAAGCTAGAAACTCCAAAGAAATAATACTAATTGGAATAAAAATAAAAATTCAATGTCGCTGGTATGGTGAATTGTTAAATCAATGTACCAATCAACTGAAATATTATCTGTCTTCATAATTTTTTCTTTTCAAGTTCCTAACAAGGACCTCATAATGAAAAAGGTTAAATCTTGCAAACTAGAGGTGTTTCAGTCACCCACAGGCAATCAAGGTTAAAGCACACTCATGCATTGTGCTTGATTGGATACCACAGACTTACGAAGAAATGTTTCTTCAGCCCTTAACATCAACCCAAACCGTCAGTGGGAAATGTGCACAGGTTAGAAAGCAGAGCGAAGAGAAGATTTACGAGGACACACTGCTTAATCCAAAAACAGAAACCCATAGATGTCAAATCCCATTCACAGCCCTATCGCGTACCAAGGATATGCAGATACAATAGCAGATGGTGCTAGGGACAAAAAGAAGAAAAATTCAGGACATAAGGTCCAGAGTTTTCAGTCTCTCTGCTTACATTCATTTCATAATTACTATGGTCTGTACTGGGAATAGAAAGATGTGATCTCTACTCCCATGGACATTTTAATGGTTACAATATGTAACTGACAGGCACACAAGAGAGAAGTGATAAGAGTTTTGAGTAGGTGACTTCATATTTTATCATACAAATGAGACACCTTTTAAAGTGAAAAGATGAACTATTAATAATGACATGGGAATAACAGGCATAATTTAGAATGCCATAGGCAAACCAATGTGTGTGGTCACATGCGCTAAGAGGAAGAAAGATAACCTGAAGTGAGAATTCACTGCAGCGAAGATGTTACTTGTAATAGTGGGAAAAGAAAAGTCTTTCTGCAGGTGTTGTTTCAACTGGACATTCAAGGAAGGTCTTGGTTGTCTTAGCCAGGTACTCATAAGGAGCACTCAGGCCAAAGAACAGTATGGAGAGGAATTGTGATTTTATGCAACATTCCAACAGTGGGAACTGTCCTTTCCTGCCTGTCTTCTCTCCATTATTTTTGAAGTAATCCCTCCTCTATGGGCCCACTGCATATGGCATGTGCTGACAACGCATAATTGTACTGTGACCTCTCTCATCGTTTCATGTTGTTTCCCTGACCCGTAATACCCTTGCTCCCAATATACTTTCCACCTGGTTTCAAGCAACACTTATACTCTTACCGTGATGCTTTCCCTACTTGTTCTGTGCACTACAGAAATTTCACCCATCTTGGAAGTTTATGAGATTCAATACTTTACCTCCTTGGAGGCAATCATATTGATGTTGTGGTATTTACAAATTCTATCATTAGTGCCTTGATTCATCCAGTCACTTTGAAGAGAAGAATTTCAGTATATTTCCTGCAACCCTCATTTTTCTTATCATTTCATAAAATGGTATTGAACCTAGAGAGTGCTGAGCAGTGAACTGTTTTACATACAAGCTGATCAAAAAATACGGTGAATGTGTAATTATAAAAGAACTGTTACAGTTACTAATACTACTACTGCTACCACTACTGCTGTAATTACTTCTGGCCAGAATTAACAGCCAAATGGTGTTGACAACTCATGAGAAAATGTTCACTTTCTTGTAAAACTGATAAAATTCAAAGTATTCTTTTAAAAAATTTAAAAAATAGTGTTTTTAATGTCACATGTAAGAACACTTTATTTTCTTCTATTTTTTTATAATAGTTGTAAAGTTTCACAAATTGTCTGTAAGCTCATAATTTACTCTGATCTAATTTTTGTATAAGTGTGCAGTTTAGGTTGAAGTTTGTGTGTATGTGGTGGGAGGGAGAACTTTATTTTTGTTTACATTCATGTCCAATTGTTTCAGCACCATTTGTTGTTTTTTTTTAAAACAAAATTCACATTTTATTTAGATTGAAATAAACTATACAAAATTTTCTTCACCAAAAATAACAGCAATTATTTTCTGTATTATTTCTAGATAAACTACAAAACATTTATTGTATAGGTTTTCAGCTTTGCTTATAAATCAAGATGAGGCAGTAGATAAGAGTCACGGAAAAAGACAAGAAAATAGACAAGTCAGTTGCCTGTATGGATCGGCGCCACTTGTTTTAAAAGCTATTTTCTAACCAAATTGCTTTTATATCTTTGTCAAAGCCAATTAGCTATATTTTTATTAGTCTGTTTCTAGTTCTTCCATTTTGTTCTTTTGATCAATTGTTTACTTCTCTGCCAATATCATACTGCCTTAATTAACATATTTATATAGACAGTGTTATGATCAGGTAGAGTAATTCTCATGCTGTATTCTTTTATAGAATTATTGTAGTTATTCTAGTTTTTCTGGTTTTCTACATAAATTTTAGGTTTAGCCTATTGATATTTTGACAAGAATTGTGTCCAACTGGTAGATCAACAGGTGGAGAATAAACATCCTATCTGTGTGGAGTTTCACAATCCATGAACACAGTATTTCTATTTACTTGTATACTCTTTGGTTGCCTTTTTAGTGTTCAGTAATATTTGACATACAGATCCTTTACGTATTTTGCTGGATTTGGAACTTTCATTTTATTTCAGAACAAGTGTACAGGCTAAAACAGATTTAATTTTAGTTTTTACACACTGGTTGCTACTATATAGATATGTAACTGATGTTTGTGTGCTGAACTAGTAGTTTGCAACAACCTGACTAAATTCATTCATTAGCTCTATAATATTTTTGTAGATTCCTTGGGGTTTTCTACACAGAAAGTCGTCATCTACAAATAAGAACTATTTCTTCCTTTCCAATTCGTATGCTTTTTTTTTCCTTTTGTTGTCTTACGGTACTAACTAAGTCTCCCAGTGCAGTGTCGTGAAAGTGTGATGAGAGGAAGCTCACTGCTTTGCTGCCAGTCTTGAGGGAAATGCACTCAGACGTGCACTGTTGAAGTTCATGCCAGCCCATCTATCTCTCACCACTTTGTCAATCTGGCTGAGCGAAAGCTCAGCTTCCTGCTGGGCCACACTGGCAGTGGGGTTAGGAGATTGTACAGGCCCATTCAGCTTCATGTTGAACTGCTCTGCTCTCCGGAGTTTGAGTGTCTGTGCTGTTTGGTGGGATTGGCTACTCAGCTCCCTGATCAACTCAAGGAACATCGCTCCAGCAGAGGAATCAGAGACTTGCCTGCTTCTCCCGAACAGTCTGTCACTGGCGTAAAACTAGAGGGTGAGCACTTTCAGAAAGGCTTTCAGTTTGTTTGGCCTTCATTTTCCTGATTCTTTAGCTAGAAGGAGTTGGTTTTCCCAAGAGCTTCTTTTGCCGGTGCCCAAGGGCAGCTTGGGTGACACCTTTCTTCAGTCCATCATCCAGGACATAAGGGATACCAAAAGAAAGTTCAGGGAATAACAACTTCTTGTTCCTTAAATTCTGAGGGTCCTAGACTGTCCATACCCTCTTCACCTTTCAGGATCTGCCCGAGTATGGTTTGTATCCAAAATGTTCTCCAGAAGTCTTCTGGGTTCAAAGGTGGGGCTTTTGGGAGGTGATTAGATCAGATCACTCCACGGACAAGTTCTCAGCTGAATGTGCTGCTAGGAGCTGACACCTGCTTGGAGGGATGCGGAATTGGGCTGTGACCTGTAAGAGGATATTCTTCTACC